ATAAAAATAATAATAATACCAACAATAATAATAATAATAACAATAATAATAATAATAATAATAGCGGTTTCAGCGTTTATTAGGCCGTAGGCCTGTCGCCGAATCTTAACATCTCTGAACATTCGCAGCATTTTGCGGTCTCGAGCTTGCAACTCACTGCTACAATTCTGCTGTGCTTAACCGCCCGGCCTCCTCGCCGATTCTGACCAGAAACTGGCTGTCAGAGCAGGGATCGAACCCGCGCCTCTCTGCTCCAATCTTGGTACTCCTGAACTTTAACCACTGGGCCACCCTGCCCGTTTTAATAGAAGTGGTTAGAATAGAATATAAATAGGCCCGTTTTTTGTGAAAACTGTTTACAATTCTAAAATAAAGTTCAATCGTTGCGAAACAGACTAAGAAAATTTAATAAATGTGATACGATATATATACAAGTTATTCTGTTAACTAATTTATAAATTGGTGCAAACTTTTAATTACTCCCAGTAGATGACAATAAGAGTTATAGGTACTGTCATCTACTGGGAGTAAGTTTGCATCAATTTATAAATTAGTTAACGGTATAACTGGTGAAGATATCTTATCATATTTATTAAAATGTTCTTAGCCTGTTAAGCATCGATTGAATTTATTTAAGAATTGTAAACAGTTTTTGCACAAAAAATCCGCAGTTACAGAACAATTTTAACAAATATCTACCTACTCGTCAAGAAACTCCGGTGGGGACGGTGGCTCTAAAGTCTAAACTCAGTCGCCAAAGTTGGTTGAGTCCGCTGAGCGCTGAGGAAGGTAATTGTAGAATTTGTAGTCAGGGGCCGACGCCGAGAAGTAAAATCTTGTTTGCGCAGAATTGCGCTCCAATTCAAGACTATATCAATACATTTGTACACCCTACTAATATAAATAGCAGTTACTGAAACGATCACTTACCTACTAATCAGTAATCAGGCTAATTGTATTATTTGTAACTAAGCCCGGCTTAGACTAAGGGCTAAGGCTAATGTTCCGAAACCAAAATATTTATTGTTACCTGCTAGGGAAGACAGCTGCCAAATTTTGTCCTCTATATTAGGCCAGACCTGAAATAAATACTTTCTAAGATGTGACTAGAGCTCAGGTTCACCTGCCATTTTTCATTTTTGGAGCCCTCTGCCATCGCCATGGATCTGCTGCCGAAATATTCCCTCTAAGACTAATGATTCCTTGAAATTTTGAGCTTCTGCAGTTCAGTACCACCTCATTCCTGTCAAAATATCCTACACTGTGACAGCACCCAAAATGTTGCATTAGTGATTTCCTTGTTGCAAGTGCATGTTAGTGGTTACCAATTCCTACCATGTCAGACTTCATTTATCAAATTTAAGGATTCAAAATATAGTAAAAATGATTATGAATTGGTTCTGAAACATTTAGTGCACCAATTTTTATATGTAGTTAATGCCAACCCTTAATCATGTTAATGCAGCACAAATTTGATTTTATATATTTTTTTAATGTTTCATTTAAATTTTGGCTATTTAATTAATCTCAGAAAATTAAATGTTCTAACAAATTATGTATATATTTTCAGATAACTGTCACAACATGATCTGGAAGGCAGTTGTATCCAGAGTTTACTCTCAAACTAGGTATGATTCAAGTTGGTTGAACAATATTATTAATATAAACAACTTTTCACTGTCATATCCAAGGTTGTTAAAATGAATTTTCCTTTATAAATTTATTCATGAAAAAAACATGCATATTTTTTTATGTTATTATCATAATTTAAAATGATATTTTTATTGAAAATGCAAACCAAAAATTAAAGTTTTTTTTATATGAAATAAATAAAGTCACTTTTCCAGGTCATGGCAACCAGCTGGCTGTATTTGTTACGTAACTGGAAAGCCTTCAACAGCCTGCTTTAAATTCTTGGCCTCTCCTTATTTTCCTTCAGAAAGAAATTTTACCACTCTCCCGGACAAACTAGCTCCTAAATGTCCACCAGCAAATAAAATTACCCCACATCTTTTTGGCCTCTGCAATAAAATAAACATCTGCTCTGCCCATCAACAGGCCACTGCTAAAGCAGTTCAATATGTTCCAATCACCAAAATACTCATTGCTAACAGAGGAGAGATTGCATGTCGGGTCATGAGAACAGCCAAGAAATTGGGCATTCAAACAGTAGCTGTTTATTCAGACCCAGATAAAGATGCCCTCCATGTTTCAATGGTGAGCTTTTGCTTCTGGCAATTTCTAATGTGAAAGAAATGCATGTCTTTCAATTTACTTATATATAACTTTGAAAAAAATTTCATGGTTATAAATTTTTGTAAACAAATTTTTAGCAAATAATAATTTCATTAATCATTATTGAACTCTTATAATTTTTACACCTGTAAACTTTTACTCAAAGAGTCAAGGGAATTATTTCATTAATTTCAGGCTGATGAAGCATATCATATTGGCGGAGCAGCGCCACAAGACTCTTACCTGAGGGGAGCTGCTATTCTCGAAGTAGCTCGTCGTTCTGGGGCCCAGGCTGTGCATCCAGGCTATGGCTTTCTGTCTGAGAACACCGAGTTTGCTGAGGCCTGTAATAACGATGGCGTCATTTTCATTGGTCCACCTGCACAAGCAATCAGAGACATGGGCATCAAGAGGTTGTTGTTACAGATACTTGTATACTTCTGGGCCATGCTTCTTAGGCAACTCTATTATTGAAGATAATTTTTAAAAAGCTTGATTTCATTAAACTCTATAAATATTTTTAATGAAACCTAAATGAAAGTCTAGTGACACAGAAATGAATAGATCAATAAAAACTTTGCAGGAGGTCTTGAAGTATTTTTGCATGGCATTCTTCTTTTCACTTTGCTAAACTAAAAATTTTAAATCATAAATATGTATAATTTAATTGTAGCACATCTAAGCACATCATGGAAGCTGCAGGCGTGCCGGTTGTTGGTGGTTATCATGGAGAGGAACAAAGTGATGCAAGACTGCGTCAGGAAGCTGACAAAATTGGCTTCCCTGTGATGATCAAGGCAGTCAGGGGTGGTGGGGGCAAGGTTTGTTCAGGCACCTCACTGAGATAAACATTTAGATTTCGTTTTATATCACTAAAAGAACGAATCCTACATGACATTAGATGTGTGGTGCATTTATAGTTTTTGTTTTCAATTTTTGAAACCTGTTGAAATATTTTGCTGTGGTGATAAATTCATGTCTTAAAACTTGTTTAACATTTCCAATTTATTGTTTGATTGTCCAGTGAAGAAACTTTCTCTTGTCTTAACATTGTATTTGATAATTTTGTTTTCATCTCCATCTGCTGATTTTTGCTCTAACTTTTAATGAAGCCTCAAATTTTACAATCTCCAGGGCATGCGCATTGCTCTTACTTCAAGTGAGTTTCAAGAGCAGCTTGAGTCAGCCAGACGGGAGGCAATTAAATCATTCAATGATGACGTCATGTTGATTGAAAAGTTCGTACAACGACCCCGACACGTCGAGGTCCAGGTAAAGACACTGCACATTTACTCGCCATCCTGAACATTTAATTAATTATTAGAAGCAAAAGAATGGTAACTGATTATTTACTGGTTTAATATGCCAAAACTTATAATAACATCTCCAAACATTGATTACCGTTTCTGTCAAAAATTGGGTATATATAAATGAGAAACTAGCTTTTTATGTTATAATTAAAATCCCTGCAACCCATATCAATTATTATTTATACACACTTTAATCAGTTTTCATTTTTAAAAGCGGCGTGTTACTCAAATTTAATTTTCAAATATTGTTCATGCTCAAAGCTCTAGAAATTAATGTAAGATTTCAGGCATCCAAAAACTGGATAAAATTGTTTATAAATTTCGTTGTTAATTGACAAAATTTATGGAATTTGTCTCAGATCTGGAGAATTCAGTTTATTTTTCTTGCTATGTGTGCTAGATAAAATTATCGATAAAATTTTTGAACATTTTCCTGCATGGTCTCCAAATAGTGATGTTGGTGGGCAATGTTTACAGGTGTTTGGAGACCAGCACGGCAACTACGTGTATCTGTACGAGCGCGATTGTTCAGTGCAGCGTCGCCACCAGAAGATCGTCGAAGAGGCTCCAGCACCTGGCGTGTCAGACGCCGTCAGGCAGCAGTTGGGAGAAGCGGCTGTGCAGGCTGCCAGGGCTGTACATTACGTTGGAGCAGGTGCCTCTGCTGTTGCAGTTTCTGACTGCTATATTTTGGCTAAGAGAAACAACGGTTATACATTCTTGAGAACTCAAGAAATAACTTATTCTTGAGAACTCAAGAAATAACTTATTCTTGAGAACTCAAGAAATAACTTTTAGTGTGTTTCACTTTCGTTTATGATTTAAAGCCTGGAACTAGAAATAGTTGCTCTATGTTAAGCCAGCACTGCATATATGTGAATGTCAGCTGCGTATTTATTTACAATTTGCTCTAAATTGTAGTGTACAATCGTGTTAATTTTCAATGGCTTGCTTAGGAGACGAGTGGCAATTATCGACACTTTCACATTGCGTTATTGTGCTACTTTTAACCCCAATGACTACTTGATGTCATGAGTTCTTTTGTGAGACAAGTAGGAATATTAGTTGACCAGAAGTAATTGTCCTATCGTTAATAATATACTATCGTTATCAAAGTTTTTTTGAGTTAGTGCTACTTTAAACATACCGTCATTACTGTCCATTATTCCAGTTACAACGTATAGGTAACTCTTTCGCAACTCAATTCTTTACAATCAAAGTCAAAGTAATTAATAGAGCTGCAACCTGAGCCCTCAAGCACTTCACGCTCACATTACTCCGCCCACAGGTACCGTTGAGTTCATAATGGATGCTCAACAGAAGTTCTACTTCATGGAGATGAACACGAGACTTCAAGTGGAACATCCTGTGTCTGAAATGATCACGAACACGGATCTTGTGGAGTGGCAGATAAGGGTTAGTAGATGTAGAAGGTTTTCAAACGCTTCAGAAAAGCATCTAATTTGCGCTGGAGGCAGGGGTTCAATTTAAGTCAAAAAATTATAATCTCTTCAGTGGTCTCAGGTTTGTAGCCTGATGCGTTTAGGCGCAGAAGTTCTGGGTCAGATTCTTTGTTCCCAGAGCAAAAGTACGTTTCGGTTTAGTCGGTTCGGTTTATCCTGATTGTCAAAGATGAGGTTGTCTGTTTAATGGGTTAGGTATGCATAATTTTGTGTGAAATGCTCAGAAAGAGGTACCAGCATGGAATTATTCTAGATCTCTGATAGCAGATTATATTCGATTACGTATCGTCTTGGGTTCCATAGTTGCTTCGTGCTGCCTCCTTCAGTGTTAGGGCAAGCGTCTCGTTGTGTGTTTAAGGATTGTAGGTTGGTCGGATGTCACTGTAGTTAGAACCAGAGCTAGGCAGCGCTACTTTGAAATGTAGCGGCCGCTACATGTAGCGCCGCTACCGCTACTGAATATGTAGCGGCCGCTCCGCTACATGTAGCGCGCTAATGCCCACCTCTGGTAACAACTAACATTTTGACACTAGTAACAGGCTGAGGTTGACAACATTACACCGCAATCTTTCGTACAGTTTTATTCTGTAATTTATATTTTGTATGTATCATGCTGGTTTTTAAATAATATTTAATACTATTAGGTAAAATCTAAAGGCTTTATCTATAAATGTAGCGGTAGCGCTGTAGCGGCAAAACCTCGTATCGCTACTTAAATATGTAGCGGGCGCTACCGCTACCGCTACATTGCTTTAAATGTAGCGCCGCCACCGCTACCGCTACTGAAAATGTAGCAGCTTCTACATGTAGCGCGCTACTACCCACCTCTGGTAACAACTAACATGTTGACACTAGTAACAGGCTGATGTTGACAACATTACACCAAAATCTTCCGTACAGTTTTATTCTGTAATTTATATTTTGTATGTATCATGCTGGTTTTTAAATAATATTTAATACTATTAGGTAAAATCTAAAGGCTTTATCTATAGATGTAGCGGTAGCGGCAAAACCTCGTATCGCTACTTAAATATGTAGCGGGCGCTACCGCTACCGCTACATTGCTTTAAATGTAGCGCCGCCTCCGCTACCGCTACTGAAAATGTAGCGCGCTACTGCCCACTTCGGGTTAGAACACTGCATGACGTGCAGTAATTGTTACAGTACGGTCACACCGCTATGGGTGAGTCATGTATAGCCAAACCTCTATCTGCGCTGACAATTTCATCTGGAGGGATCTTTCCCTCAGGGGGGAATTATGACGCGTGTCTATGCTCGTCGGAAGTCCTATGGGATTTCGCTAGCCTAAGGGGATTGTTCCTGAGCGCCCCACCGCTGAGCTCGCGGTGTCTGACCGTTGTTCTCAGTTGTGGGGTAAGTTATTATGTAGGTAGGATTCCTTGCAGTTACCTTCTCTGTCTCTATCGTGCGGGCGGCCGATGTCCCGTATAAGCGACCTCTTGTTCGAGTGTCTTAGTTTCTGTTGTTACTTTTCACCTGTCCCTCCTTGTCACTTCCCCCTCCTTGTCATCTGTCCCTCCTTGTCACTTCGTCTCTTTGAGATGCTAACGCTGCTTCTTTCGAGCCAGCTTCAGCGGGTTGGACATCTGAGACCTTCCGCCCCTTGTGGGTGAGGATTAACTGGAGATTTTGAAAAATTGAGACCTTCCGCCTTGCTGGCAATGTTATATTTTGACCTCCGGTGCGAAATAGCGTGATAGCTGCGCTAGCAAACCATCATAATACTACTACTCCTTGTCACTTCGTGTCTTTGAGATGCTAACGATGCTTCTTTAGAGCCAGCTTTAGCGGACTGGACAATTGAGACCTTCCGCCCCTTGTGGGTGATGAAAAACGTTTGATTTGAGAATCTTTCGATAACTGAGACCTTCCACCTCTTTGGTGATACCTATTCATCTTGACCTTCGGTGCGAGATAGCTAAATAGCTGAAGCGCTAGTAAACATTTTTGGCCACTAAACTAACTAACTGGAGGGATCTTTGGTACGATGTGCTCCAAGCTTGCACATAGTCCTTAATTGCTCCCAGTTGCCATGGATCATAAAGTCATTCTCCCATAGCATTGATTGCACGGTAGGAGGTATGTTAGTTGCGATGTCGCTATTGGCCATCAAAAAGAGGTTGCAGCTAATCACACTGCTCTACAGAAATTCATGGTGACGCATGTGCAGAGGTGAAAACGCTACTCCCACCCTAACCCTAAAGGACCGCTCACGCAAGAACCTAGGATGTTTAGGGCATAATTCCTTCTAGTCCTGGATCTACGTATGGACTACCGTATTCCATGTCGCCATGTGCCGTCGTATGCTTTGTGGTTTGTGCATGTCTAATTATACACAAGTGGTGTGTTTTCATTCAGGTGTATTATGTCAGGGCTGTTTTAAAGTCAGGCGCGTGCTTCCGTGGTTATATAGCGGTCGAAAGAAAAATTGCAAAGAAGTCAGGTTAGGATTTTCCAGGTATTGCACAAGTCTGTTGGTGACTATATCTTTCTACTACCTTCTCCACACAGCTTGTCAAGGTGATGGGGCGATAGCTGGATAACTCTTATAGGGATTTATTTCTTTTAGCAAACGTTATGACAGTTGCAGTTCGCCATTGTGACTTAAATGAGGCTGAGATTTTATTATACTAGGCAGGAGGGTTGTTGATGTTGTTGTTTGCGCCGACGTCACGTCATTGCACGGGGGAGGCTCCGATGGTGGCCGAGGGAACGCTGCCACCTCCTGGCCACCCTCCTCGCCTCTCGTGTGCGGCAGAGCTGTCACTGGAACACCGACCAGAGCTTTTTTCATTGCAATGGCTTGACTCTGTTGAGTGTTGGTGACTTCCACAATAAGCGTTTCATTTCTGGTCTCGGTTATCTTTGATGATATGTTTTTCAGTATTCTTTCTATCTCCTGTTGGCACTTATTTCATCAAAACTTGTACAATGACAACCCTTTTTAGCCGATATCGTAGAGAATGTTTTATGCTGTTTCTCGTTGGCCCAGATGATTGTTTTTCATTTTAGTTTTCGTCCAGGAAGCTGGGTCTAGAGTAGACAATTGTTCCCTTGTCTAGATTTGTCTGCCTCTAGTTTCTGTTGTATCATTCAATACGTATGGCTGAATTATCAGGTCACTATGTTCGGCGGCCTGCTCGTAATTCCGGCTCGCGAAAGATAGAAGGGGTAGCTCTGCTGTGTAGAAGTCATGAATGGTTTCCAGATTGAGTATCAAGAACAGGAGGTGCATTTAGAGGGTCCATTTTCGGAGTCAGATATTTCTTCTGGCGTCTTCACGCTGAGCAGGCCTTCAGGTTTCTGCCTTCAAACAAGGAGATCTCTTTTGTCAGGCCCACGAAAACCTGAGGTATGTAGCCTTAGTGGTCCTGGGTCCAGCAGGTTATGCACTTGACCCTCTTTGCATTATCTGCGCCACTATATTTGCGCGGCGTTTAAGCTTCTCCTACTTAAGAAGTGACCTGTCAAATCTCCCAGGTTGCTGCAGGGGAGCGTTTACCCCTCCTGCAGGAAGACCTGCGCCTTCAGGGTCATAGCTTCGAAGCCCGCGTGTATGCTGAAGAGCCCGGCAACAGCTTCATGCCTGGGGCGGGACCTATCACAAGACTGACGGCACCAGCAGGTGACGCTAGCGCGCCCAGCTGCCAGGGGTAACAAATTCATGATATCAAACTATTGACTAATCTTCTTTAACATATTGATCTCAAATTGTCCAATTTCATCTCAGTTTTGTTGAAAATTTTGATGAAGCCACGAAATATTTGCTTTCTCAGACGACGCGACGACTCGCATCGAGACGGGGGTGAGGCAGGGAGACGAGGTGTCGGTGCACTACGACCCAATGATCGCTAAAGTCGTCGTGTGGGGACCTGACCGCAACACGGCGCTCAACAGGCTTGCTTCTGCCCTCACCCGGTACAATGTGAGTAGCGTCGTGCTGCACCATGCCGGTGTTGCGTGGTGCTGCACCATGCGTGTTGCGTAGTGCTGCACCATGCGTGTTGCGTAGTGCTGGTGCGTGGTGCTGAGGTCTGCAGCACCATGCGTGTTGCGTGTTGCGTGTTGCTGGGGGTCTGCAGCACCATGCGTGTTGCGTGGTGCTGGGGTCTGCAGCACCATGTGTGTTGCATGGTGCTTGCGTTCTCAGCGCCTTGTGTACAACTCGCTTCATGGTGTACAACTTCATTGTGTACAACTTCATCGCTCGAAGCTATGCAGGAGCATATGTTCAGTCTTAAAATGCCTAGCAAATTACGGACCAGGCAATAAGTCCAGCAGCTATCTCAATCAATCGTCAGCTATGGAAAGATCGGGTTCCAAAGGCCGGATCCCTTGTGAATCAAGTCACGAAAAGTTCAAGAATCGGCAACAGGCCATGGGCCTATTTCTTCAGCGCCGACACTTCTATTCTATTCTATTCTATGGTGCTATGTTCCCATTTTCGTAACTTGATGCTTAGATTTGCAATAATTTAAGAGCGAACATTAGACCAACCCGTTGTAAAAACGAATTTCATGCATTATTGATAACTCCTTATTGTCGGCAAATGTTCATAGTTTAAGTTTAATATTTAAGGGTTTTGAATGTCTTTCCCTTTGCATAAGAATTTACAGCAAAATACGTGTGTATCGTTATATAGAATCTTAGATTCACCGTAAAATTTTTTTGATTTCTATTTAATCAACTACTTATATTTATTCCAGATTGTAGGGCTGCACACCAACATCGAGTTCATGTTATCGTTGTTAGCACATCCAGAATTTGTTCGCGGGAACGTCCATACTGACTTCATCCAAGAGCATCACGCCGCTCTCTTCCCGGACGTACTAGTCACTCCCGTGCAAGCTTGCCAAGCCGCTCTGGCGTTCCTGCTACAGCAGAGATCCGAGATTACGGTGAGATTGTGGCTATTATTTGCAGATTATCTTTCCTCTATTGAATCCTGAACTTGTGACCTCTGAACGATAAGATTTCTGAAGGCATTTTGTCTTGCAGATCGATTAATTAAGGATATTCTTTTCGGTGAAAATTTACTGAAGTTCCATTTAATTTCGAAATTCATGACTAAATTATAAAAACTCCTCTAGCATTTATGGTTCATAAATGCTATCATTTTATAAATTATACTTCGAATTACTTGTTTTGTAAACGATTTTTTTTTCAGACGAAAACGGTATCTCCCGCCTTTTCACAGTCTAATGCTTTTTTGCGTGTGAATCAACCTAAGAAAAGTAACTTTATGCTGAAATCTGGTGAAGAAAGTTTGACTGTGGCTGTAGAAGAACCTCCGTCAGGACAAACTCTTAGTATGAGCATTGTAGGCGCTGATGACAAGCACAGTGTCAGTGGGCGTCTGGAGGCCATTGAGGGAGGTGGTGCCGTGCAAGAACTCGTCTCAGAAATTAACGGAGTCATCAACCGAACGAGGATAATCCACCACGGAAGGGACCTCTACATGTTTACCAAGGTATATATTCGCGTAGACCTTAACAAAACTGTCGATTGTCACTTGAAATCTAGCGCATCTCCTTTATTTTTTCTATTTCCAACATTGACAATCTGTTATCATGACCATCCATTTACTAGGACGTTTATTCTTTACCTCCTTGGCTCGATAAATATGGTATTTTCCGTCATATTTCTTGGTCTCCTCAGAGTGGTGTTCAGAAGTTCACATTGCCGGAGCCGAAATTTGTGAGCAAAGTAGGAGCAGGCGCGGGTACAAGCGGGGGCGGTCTGGGGGCCGTGGCTCCCATGCCGGGAGTGGTCGAGAAGCTGCTTGTGGAGCCTGGCCAGAGGGTCCAGGCTGGAGACCCGCTGGTGGTCATCATCGCCATGAAGATGGAGGTGGGATTTTATTCAAGACGTTTGCTGCCATTAATATAGCTGTATTTTAGGCCGATCGACGGAAGATCGAATTGTGCTAGGTGAAATGTGTTAATCATTAGTGTAGATATTACTCAGTAGGTTGAATAGTATCAATTAACTAGCCCGCACAAGTTGATGAGTAAATAGCAATAGGCGCCGTTCAATGTACTATAAGCTGAGGCTCATTATTTCAAACTTTCATTCATGACATAGGTAAATTTTGTTTATTTCCAATATTTTAGATCCAAGAGTTCTTTTTCAGTTCATTGTGAAGGCAACTGCAGCCGGTGAGTCAAATTTTGTTTTATTTCCTATATTTAAGATCCAACTTCTTCTTCAGTTTATTGTGAAGGCAACTGCAGCCGGTGAAGTGCAAGCCCTGCTCTACAAGCAAGGTGATACTGTGGCTAAAGACGCCGCTTTGGTCAAGATGAAGTTCGACGAGGAAGAATCAGCTGATCACTCCGACGACTAATAAGGCGGGATAATTTCCTGCACGAGGGTCTATAACTCCCAACTGTAGATACGCGTATTTGTCCACCAAGCATGCAACGGAAGGTTGGGCTCAGACAAGATGTACACAAACCTAAGTACCGTGGAAATATAGCTAAAAATATAAGCTAGCATGAGTTATTCATTGGTTCATTGACAGGACCACGTAAGAGTTGTTTCACTTCGCACTTGTTAAGTACGTAATTGACAATAGGTTAATAATTTGAGTGCAAATATTAGGTAGTTGTTTATTATTAAGGAACATTATTAGAAAATAACGTCTCGCACATCTTGTTTCTTCAGTGTGAACTGTAAAATATTTGCAAGTTTTAATTTCTCAAAACATGAACGTTTGTATCAGTGTATGAAAACTTTATTCCCATTTCAATTTTCGCGTTTCCATTGCATCGTTTTCATTGTCCTTTTTGTTAAATGGAATGAAACACACTGAGCTCACTTGTTAATACATTTTCGATATCACGATTTACTCTGGCTTGTATAAAAAAATTATCAAGTTTGAGCCCACATTGTCGACTGTACGTCTTCAATTACGTACTGCTCGTAGTTGAGATTTAGACTCTGTAGACAGCGGCTTCTACCTCTGGCACAGAGGCGTTATTTTCTGATGGTGGTATTATCTCGAGCCGTGCGTAACATCCGCCGCTCTTGCCTTTGCACAACCGCTCAGGATTCACAACTACGCAGTCAAAGACGTTCTGCAAAATTAAAAAAAAATTCAGTCTTATTCTATGCATTCCAATTTGAGACATTTCCCACCAAACTGGAGCTTTTTGACTTCGCATTAATTCGACTTACGGTGTAAAACGTCACCATTCTTCAGCTATTCGGTTTTCCATGCGTATCATAGTATTCATTTTAAATAGAATTGTATATTCATTTTTTCGTCATTAATGGAATACTGAAGTGGACAGCCGACATGAGAAACTCGTGACGCTCACCTTCACGAAGTTTCGAAGGTCTGAAGGCACGACGAGGATATGTGGCTTGAAGTTGAGGCTAGCGTGGGCTTGAAGAAGAGATGGAGAAACAGCCACGTGATCGGGAGAAGGATAGACTGGGTACAGAGATTGCTGCGCCAGCACGTGGTGCACTAAACGATGGATCCGATCGCCTTGCTGACTAGGGCTGTGAATAATATTATAGATGAGCGCTTTTATACGCAGCGTTCAACATTCTATGATTTCCAGCTCTAGTCTCTTCAATATCCCAGTGAGATAGTTATTATAAATATTCGAGTCGTGTCTCATCCCAACCCTGGTTTATTATACGTCGTACACGTCATAACATTCAAATATGTAAACATTTCATAACGCCGAGTATTCAGACACTCACTAAGCTAGTTCCTCTTTGCCGATGTCCATGATCACGTCTTGGGCAGTGACGGCTATGACCACGCCATCGATCACGAGTAGAGAAGGATCGGAGACGAGGGTTAGTCGAGGGGAGACGGGTGCCGAAAGCGGTGGTGTAGGATACACGCAGCTAGCAGTCACATCTCGAGACGAGGAAACTATGAAAATCTTCGTGTTGCACCTGCAGGAACAATCATGGGAATGTCAAGCCATGTTATTTCCGAGCCGCTGAACGTAGCTTTTCAAAAGCACTGGGGCTAATGATTGAGAGCAGTAAATTTCATCGATCTCGGGATGATCTCTACCGATTTATAAGGTAGCTCCTTTTACAGAGATGAAAAATCAATGTCGAATAACTGAAAATACGCGGATAACTTCGATTTGAAAGTACCTACTCGTTTCCAGCATGCTATCAGTGCAGATGGTTCAAAACCATAGCCGCGATTTGGACTTTGATAAAAAAAAGACGGTAAGGACCCAATCTTTTCAATGTTGATCTTCTTCCGCCCAGAATGAAGAGTTAAGAATGAAAACTAAAATAAAATAGGCCCTGCGAACGATCAACACGTAGAAACTTACACACATTTTTTCAAGATGTGTGTGTTCACACATCATCGACTGCAAGTCATTGTCGATGCAAACTGTTGCATGCACGGAGGTGTTATTTATCTGAAAAATTGGGAAATTTCAGGGAGTAATACATTAAATAAACTGTCATGATGCCATGTCCAAACGAGGGATTTTATTTTTCGAAACGAAAAGGCTAAAAACCACACGAATGACTCACTTGGATAATGCATTAGTGACAGAGGAGATGGCCCTGTTGACGACAGCTTGAAAGGTTTCATTGACGCTGCCTTCACTCAGCAGAGGATGACTGGCGTCAAGTACTGGACCCAGCAGTACGAGCACATGAGGAGGTGACCTGATAGTATCAAGTACTCACTGACAACTGTAGATACCATACCAGTGTTTTCATTTTGTCATTGACACAATATCGCAATAGAAAATTAACGGTAGGAAAATAGCAATACAAACAGAAAATTATCTTATTGCGATCTTTCTTAATACTGAAACTTTTTAACGACGAATGAATTAATTAAGAGCATGTAGTGCAACAGGCAACTCATTTCAAAAACTGGCAGAGCGACATCAAGGTGTTTATCAAACGGTAATAATGATAAATTCACGTTGCCGACGCGGTTCACGTTCAGCATTAGTTCAGCTTACTTGGCAATGGTATCAAGCAGGTCTTGTAGGGGCTCGTAGAGAAGATTATCGCTTGTTGTGAAGGGTCCAGAAGCAATTACGATTTCCAAAGTACCTGTCAAGCCGAAGAAAAAAATATATTAAGCACCTAGTTTTATGCAGGATTACAGAAACGTCAAGGATGCCCAACGTATGTAACAAAAACATGTTCACTTAAGCGAAAGGATGTCGCTGTCTAAAGAAATGACGTAACAGTTTTTATTATCTAAGTGAACAAAGCAAATCTGTCTGTATAAGCTTCTATGTTATGAAATGCCTAATTAAATATAAAAAAACACGCTAAAAGACAGTTCAAAATAACCTTTGAGGGAAATGGGATGTTCAGGCAGCTCAGGCACACGCCCAGCTATAAGTTTCTCCACCACTAGCAAGTTGCCTGTACTGTTCACGCCACTCACACCAATCACCTGCACCAAAGATCAATTCAAGTCAATAATTGTTAAACCGAATGTAATTATGGTAGAAACGAATGATATCGTCGAATCATATTCGGCAAGTCTCTGTTTAGCTACCTGAACCATGAGAAGTTCTACATTTCGAGATTTAGTCATAAAAATAATCCACTTTAATAGGACAAACAATAAAAATTATTACCTGAATAAATTTCTTGACCGCAAAATGCCCCAAATACGCAAAATGCCCCAAATAAATGCGCCCAGGTTTTTACACATCATAAATTCAGTTTTCAATAATGATCACATCATATCGTGCCACAAAGAAGCATTAGGGTACGCACACAGTGAAAGCAGGTTTGCCCGCGCGGGCAACCTGCTCCAACCTGCCACAAGAATGAACATTGGATAATAATGTAAGTGTTGGCAGTGAAAACCTGAACGAATAGGCTTCTGTATTCTATGGTTTCAGGCGCCAGCCTGCGCAGGTAACTAGCACACTGGCAACCTGCTTTCACTGTGTGCGTACCCTTAGTCCCAAGAGTAGCCCCGAAGTAGGCACTGTCAAGCGCATCACCTGTCCAGGGAAAAGCGCATAAGAGTCGAGCTTGGAGAGGTCCAGCGGCAGCATTACAGCCCCCGACAGCTCGCGTGAACCTTCCAATAACACCGACGCCGCGTTGAGCTTGCCCACGCTGTCGCAGCACACACGGCCCACACAGTTAATTGCCTCCTGTCCACATAAAAAGCCGAAGCTAGTTAATGAGCTTGAAAGCCTTCATTGGCCGGTCACATGTTCACGAGTCAAGCAAGGCCATAAGCACAATTTATGGGCACAGTTGATAGAAATTCATTTTTAGCTAAATGCAACAAGATGATAAGCAATAAATTGTAACTTAGACGCTACAGCAGCTAAAAATTATCGAATATAAATTTTCCTAAACAAGTTTCACGCTGAAATTAACGAGCCATCAATGCCAACAAGAATAAATGTACCGCAAAAAATTGCACATAATTAAAATTTTTAAAATCTATATGCCATTATTCATTATAATAAACAACAGAAACGTACATCAATTTCATTAGTTTCCCGAACTCGCTCACATTAGAAGGCGTATCCATAGGCCCCCAGCAGCCGGCACCCCCGAACGCAGGCTCGAGCTGCTCGGCCATGTGCATGATGACGTCATCTGCAATCGCAGCGGACTCGCGCAGCTTCTCGAACATGAGGCGCCCGCGACAGTTCTGCATGCTGGTTACCTGCACCTGTCAAATCAAGTTTTGTTCATTCAAATATCCATCTACCATCAATTTTAAATTGAATGAATGTTACATTTATTTAAGCTTTAACAAAGCGAGATTAGAGATTAGCAAAGATCACTAAATTTGAAATTCAACTCTGAACAAACCATTCTTGTTTTAAAACTACATTCAATATTAAAAAATTCTACAGGTCATCGTTCTTTATTGCCACATGTTCTTTCAAGTGATGTGCAATAGCAAATATCTTAAAATTGCCCGCATCACTCTAGAGCAACGCTTCGCAAAATCTGGAGGGAGGCAACAGTAATTTATGCAAAAAGAACCTCAATAGGGAGTTCCATATTAGCAGTCCAATCCTTGGTGGTAAAGTCAGGAGCTGCCGTGCCTTGAGAGATATAGGTAGAGACCACAGCTCCCGAGTTGTTTCGAGTGCTGTATCTCTCAGACGGAACTGCAACACTGCCAAATGAGGCAAACCATGAGAACTAGTAAAGAGTTTGAGCTCTTTTCAACCTTCAACCAAAGAAGTTGACACTCTGGTAGTGAAAATAGATGCAAACCGTCTGACGCGATATTCACAGTTACCAAACCATAGGAAGAGGGCATGGAAATTGGGTTGTTACAATATCAATATTAAAAACGATGAGCGTCAAATAACGAGTACAATGCATGCGGTATTATTGTGATGCATAATAAATTTAACGGACATTAATAACAGCTACAATCAGGCGCTCCCGTTTCTATCTTTTTACCGTACTCTACGTCACAAAAAGCTTTTTATGTACAAATACTTTCAACATTAGCCAATGCATGGCTAGATTGAGACTCAAAATATTTCACACCTCATTACCACTCAGAAATTAACCAATACCCCAGGGGATAGACAACTTGACTCGTTTTTAAACAAAGATTTGTAAAAATGACTTCAACTACAATAAATTTCGCAACAAATTTATGGAAACATATACCTGGGCGATAGATACAAGTGGTGTGAAGCAGTCAGTCTACGGCTGGGAGGAGTGCTTGGAGGCCTTCCATTTTTCTCATTGAACTTAGAAACAGGAGTGGCAGGCGAGCACGAGGCCTGGCGACTATTTGCCACCTGCAAACATAACATTTCCAATTTTATTTCCATGTATTCAGTCAATGAGTCCATGGCAGCATCAGTAAATCCTTTAGACATTAATTGCACATTTTTAAGATTATAGCTAAATGAATGGTACTCCAAACTGAATGAAGTGGCAATCAACTAATTCAACTTCTCAATTTACAATACTCGTAATGTTTCATATTGCAGCAGGATGACACGCAACAACTGAAGAAGTAGCGCTAGACATCTGTAGCAGAAGTAGAGCTTCTTGACAGCTACAGCAACGGCAGTTGGGCTTCTTGACGGCTACAGCTGCTGCAGCAGCAGTAGAGCTTTATGACGTCTACAGCTCCAGCAGTTGGGATTCTTAACGTCTACAGCTGCTGCAGCAGCAGTAGAGCTTCACTTCATGACGTCTACAGCTACAGCAGTTGGGATTCTTGACGTCTACAGCAGCAGCAGTTGGGATTCTTGACGTCTACAGCAGCAGCAGTTGGATTCTTGACGTCTACAGCAGCAGCGGTAGCGATTGATGGTTGCAACAGTAATTGTGAGGAACTAGCCTCAGATATTCAAATTACCAGTCGTGTCACCTCAAAAGTTCGGATGGTCTTCACATCATACATACCAATCAATGGCTGGAAACTGCAAGACCCCTATAGGCTTAATAAGCAAGGCTTGGGCTGGACGTGATCTGAAACGCCAATGACAAGCAGAAGCTAACTATTAAAGATAAACAGCATATTATTAAAGTTACAAATCAGAACGGGTAGTCATATAAAACCGATGGAAAATGGAATACTCACAAATTAACAAATCGAATACTAAAAAACAAATACCGTCACACCTGACACTAGAGAAAGAGGCTGTGACAAGTCTAATGCGTAAGGAGAGCTAGAGCTAGGCGACACCATTCATCTTTTCTCCTGCCCTGAAATGCCCACATCCCTGTCGGTGGATGACCTTCAGACAGACCCCGTGAACGCCGCAGGGCTGCAGGCCCGCTGGGGCAACCGACTTGGCTGGCCCCAGAACTGGGTCTAGTCCCCGCCTCGCGCCGTGAGCGAGGCGGGGAGGGTCAACAACAACAGCTAGAGCTAGGAGTTACGAGATAAAGCGCGTGATCATAAAAAAAGGTGAACAAAGTAGATAGCAATTACCTACGCATGACAATTCAATTACATGTTCACTAATATCATGTTATTACACAATGCATTCTAATTAAAACATTATCGCACCCAATATTTCACCCTGGCGTTTCAAGAGAGGAACCAGTACACCAGTAGGGATCAGCAGCTTAACAGACGGCTACCAAAAATTGAACGACCATGTTGCAGCTGGTCACGTTCGATCTTAGCGGTCTAATTGCAAGTAGTAGGAAATTTTCAGCCTACTATATTACAATAGTGAATAACACTGCAGATGAATTTGACGACACTGCAGCAGTATTGGATGAGTAAAGATCTAGTCATGGGCGGAATAGCATTACTAGACGATCTACTCATCCAACACCACCACACTTAACCAACTCACTGAATCCTTGTCAACGTTTGATCCCCCTGAAGATCCACCAAATTGTAGGCAGCAGAATAGCGTGCTTATTACTTTCATCTATTATATGCTTTTTCATTTGGACAAACTAAACATATGATACCTATTGCTTTATTAGATTTTTCTGATTTGTATTTCGAGATCCAACTTTGTTGGTAGCTCCAATTACCAGTGCTTGTTCTTCACGAGAAGCGAAGTGTGTGTCTCACTCAGTGACGAGTGTAGATCTAGTCATGTTTCTAGCCACATGCACTAGACCAACACACGTCAATGAAAGAGCTGTGGCTCCAAATCCGTTGCAGTAAATCGCTCCAGTAACGGCAGCAGTCACAATATAAAGGGATGATCTCGTCAGTCTTGAATCTAGTTCCGTCATCAACAATTATTCATATCATCTATGCCAATTGCTTCCAGAAAACCAGGACAATCCTCAAATATCAACATGTGGAAAACATTTTAGCTTAGGAATTTCAGCTTATTTATAAATGTATTCCAAGAGTAAACAAAAAATTATTAGCCTGAGATTACTCAATACAAAACTTTCAAGAAAGTAATAAATTCACATCTATGAACACATTCAACTTGGGATTTATTTTACTGAAAATTTGTGTCAATGGAACCACAAACAATGTATATATAAGTTACTAAAGAAAATGGATTAATATGTTGTACATTGTACAACTAAGCTACAAAATTGCAATTGCCATTCAAAAAAGCAGGTGTAAATCCATATATTCATTTAGAAACAATGATTTTTACATTACAAACCTTAGATGCAATTGGCGAAGCCCCATATGAGACGATAATATCCTCATGAGCCATCAATTCATCAATGAAGGAGGCAGGATAGCACGGGCCTTTTGTAGAGGCAAATGGGTTGGTAGAAGTCTTCTTCTTGCTCAGCTGTTCGCGCTCAAAATCACTGAGCAGTTCCAAAGACATGTCATCCAGTGACTTGGTAGCAGCAAAACCCAGCCAGCTTGCTGCCAGCTGATCTGCTGCCAGGTCATAACGGCTGCAAAGATCAAGACCTGCAAATACAATAAAATACTTCAGTATCAGAACTGACGAATCAATATACTCAAATCAATTGTTAATACACAATCAGAAAACAGTTGCCAATAAGATGTTGAAGAGTGAGTGCAAAAAAACATGGTTTTTCATCACATTCTTTACTTTTGTTTTCAGTTTCTAAAGTAAGTCATTCATTGGAATGACAGTTGTGAAAAATATTTGTCAATTATAAATTATATGAAATATGGCTCAAATTTATTGCTACTTAGAGGTTCCTTGAAGTACATAATTGTGACGGTTGCCTGAATGTCAAGGGATATTGAAATACAAGATGTTTGAGAAAGAACAAGGAAAAATAGCTATAGACAATATTTGCCAATTACAAAAGTCCTCATTTTATTATCTAGGAATTTCAAACTCAATAATACAATAATAATGGTTTCATAAACTGCATGCAAAAATAAAAACTTACATCATATTGCATAAAACATCAGGCACTGATTGATGAAAAACTGAAGGCACAAAATCTGATCATCTTCAAACAACTATTTGACAATTTATGTAAAAATCTGTTGTCCTCCAGTATTCATCAGTGCAATGAGATTCAAGAATTTTCAGGCAAGAGAGGCAAGGTGTTTATTGAAAGATGCCCATCTTAAGCTCCAATTGCCAATTATGAACAATTATAATACAGAACAAATTTTGGACACAAAAAGTACAACCACTGTACTCGCTTGGAATATCATGTTTGACAACAGGGCAGGTGTCTTGCAAACAGCCTTCTACCTCAACAGAAAATAACAACATGATTTCTTTTCATCTTATTCATCTTGAAAGGTGGCTGTTCTACTTTTTTTCATCTGCTAAAGACTTCAAAGATTGCTTGCATGTGTCAATTAGATTCTTCAGATACCTTCTGGTGCACTGAATTTCTTCCTATCAATGAAGCTATTTCTACAGGATGAAATGGAAGATAGATTTCAAAGAAGAGATAACCGTCTTGTCAATATGGAAGGCTGCTATGAGAGACAGCAGTCATTGTCCCATTCACAATATTTCCAGACTGTAAGTCCTTCATTGACTGAAATTTGTCCTTAATTATTGTTTGATATGTTCTCAAGAATGGCTTCTTCCAATGGGAGCATCTGCTTGTCTAACCTACTGGAATTCTCTTCAAGTTGTTGTGATGGCAGTGCAAAACATCAAAGGTTAACTTAGAATAGCAATTACAATCATTGAATAGTTATTATAAGATTACACTCTTAAACTTCAAATTTTTCATCTTTGCTGATATTTTAAATAAAAAACGTTGTTGCTTCACAATAACATTTTTGTAAGAGATCAACTTTCTAGCTAATAAGGTCATGAAGTCAGGATTTGTTTGACTGATAAATATTCTCTAAAGCCATTTCCCCCCATTCTTTCTTCAACAACTAACTTTAAGACCCCTCAGCATTTAGGCAATATTTTCACACTAATGTCATGTGTGTGGTTCAAACAACTAACTTTTTAATATAATGACTGGTCACAAAAGTGGAAGCATTAATAACCAGCCACTTTACGCATTAGTGGCCTAATCAAATGATGATAACACCAGCATTTTAAATAAAATATCTATTGTGCAATGGAGAATAAAGTGCAATAAAATAACCTGCAGCCACTCACAGACACATATGCACCTGCAACACTAGAAAGTCAACCTTGGTCCAAGAGGACAAGAGAGGTTGTTCTGACCCCACATCACAATAATACACATTTCAGGCAACATATTAGCATCAATTGACTTGTGCCATATTCCATATACCAATATGTTTGGCTGAAATTAATTTAGCTCTATCATCTAAATAGCCTTGGTATCTATCAAAACAGTAAAATGAAGGTTAAAAATATGCTGAATTTCTTATATTTTTTTGGGGGGGGGGGATAAACTAAGTGGCTTTGCAGCAACACTAGAAATAATTTCTTGGAAAAATCCTTTTGAAGCAATTCATTTGGCAGGTGACCAAATAAAATTCCTTTGATTTTTAATATCAAAATAAGTGGTTTTATTCTCCACCCTACAGCTCATCTTATGGGAGAATTCTGAGAAAAATTCCATAATCTGTAAGAAGACATTTATGTATCTGCTGGCAGAGTCTAATGTTTTGTCTTGTTACACAATGAAAGCTAACAAAGAAGAAATATAATCAAGATTGAGGAAAGTAGAATTTTGCTCGCTAGAAGATTCATATGTTATTCTTTCCTCGTTTTCACCTGCTAGGGCTCTAATCCTATCATTTGAGTTAGGCTTCGCCCAAGTTTTTCTCCATCAATAGAACCTGCCACTTAGAAGGGATTGTTTGCATTGTGTTATTGCAATAAATGGTCATACTTAGATCTGGCAACATATAAGTTGGTCTCATTTTCATTCACTTCAACTAATTAGTATTTTAGTGAAATGGAGAGATGAACCACCTCTGCACCCAACTTTTAAGTTAAAAATTAAAACTTGAAAATAAATGTCAAAAGACACATTCCATAGTGAAAAATTATGGACACCAAATATATAAAAGGCTCATAAATGTACATATATTCATGTTTTGATTCCAATATTCTCTTACTAAGCCTTTTGTTTCAATTGGAGGGCAGCACATGTTAGCAACCAATCAGATATATTTAGCATGTTTTACTAATATTATGGGTGAAAATATGCCTTTTTAATCAAGTTTCATTACATAAGATATTGCATGGGTATGGTTGAAAACTTGAAATTGTCTGCAAGCATCAACACCTATGCTCATTTGTATGTGGCTTCTGCCCAAGTTATGAACCTGAAATTATAAGATAGAAAAAGTTCACTACAATATTGCAGATATAGTCACCTTTCATTGGTGAACTAGAAACCTAGCCTCTGAATCTGAGTGGTTAAGCAGAGAGTTTTAAGACTCTTCCTCAAGTTCTTTTTTGAGTCCTATAGGTAGACCAGTTACCTATCATGGATACCAGCACTATCACACATAAGAAATTGGTTTAAATCTTGAGTAGACGATTAAATTAAAAATGAACTGATTCTAAAAAAAATCTATGGTTTGTCACTATGCTCAGAATCATGAATTTTTATATATTATCAGCTATTAGTTGCCCATTAGATATATTGAAGCTTTTATTGTACTTGAAGTGCAGCAGTGCAGCTTGTCAATAAAAAGGCTAAAGACAGGTCTAAAATAGGATTTAAAGCATTTTATTATCACATAGTTTATGCTGCAAAGAAGACAAAGATCTTGCTAGAAAGTCAATCAATGACACTCACAGCAAGCTGCAGGCTCAGCCACTAAAGCACTAACTTGCCTCTCTTTAAAAAAAAATAAACATAATTTACCAGTGAGAATTATAATTTTTATGGGTTGATAACTTGATAGCCACATAATAACAATGAAGCTCTGTTTTTAACACTAAAAAGTTGAGACTCAGTTTATAAAGTTGATTTATGAAATTAGACTGAGACATCATTAGTGATGTGGTATACTAGGTATAGTTAGCAGCATTGATGAATGGCAGTAGTGAATTCAAATTTGTATAACAGCTGAGTTACAGCTCCAACCTCTAAGTACTTTCATTTTGTAGTTTATAGGTAGTGGAACACATTTTTCAGATCATTATTTAGCCTGATGGAGCAATAAATGAAATGTAGTTAATTAAAGATTTGGTAATCAAAATAAGTAATGTGAAGTTTTAATTCAAGACAATGCAGTTTAGAACTTGTCAGTCAGGACCTGAGGACAATGAGGACATGTATAAATGACATACTTTTTCATTAAGCACAATTTTCCTTCCCTAACAATTAACAACTAACAAGATATAATCTGTTATTTAACTCGTTTCAACTTGGCAGTTAATAAGCAAGTTGAGCAACATGGATGCTCAATCTCATTGAGTATGTCAGTGTATTTACTATTACTGTAGGCTAGTGTAGTAGTGTTAATAGCTAGTCACAGTATAATAGTGTACTGTAAAAGTAGTTTATACTCTATATAGTCTATAGTACTGAATACAGAATCCTAATTTTACTGCATGCAGTCTGACAACATAACTTGACCAGGCTACTTAATGGGACCTGTTGTTTGACCTGGATTGAATTCATTACCAAACAAAAATTAAATGCCTAATTAACAGTCACAGCTTCTTTGTCCATTCCCAATTCAGTTTCTATCTAACAATTCACTAGAGATGTAGATTGTAGAAAAATTTATTATGAACACATTTATCACAAGGAATACCAAAATGTTCACTTCAGGCTTTCAGCTGACGCTGAAAACTAGACCATGAAACTTGACAAAGAAAATAAATTCCAGTCTAGTGACTAGCAGAGCGTGGCAAAGCAGAGTTTTTTAGACTCTCCCTCAAGTTCATTTTTGAGTCCTATAAGTAGACCAGTAAAGTATCCTGGAATCTGGATACCAGCATTATCATACTTAAGAAATTGGTTTAAATCTTGAGTAAATGAGGAAATTAAAAATGAACTGATGCTTAAAAAGCTCTGGTTTGCCACTATGCTGAGAGCAGCGTTAAATGCGAAGAGTTGGGCAATGGCCGCTGACAAAGCAACTTACAGCGTGATAAAATTGAGTCGCTCTGAACATCAATACCAAACGTTTCGAATTCTTCTATAATTTCTTCCGTTGTCACAGACATGATGTCTTCTGACTTAGGAGCAAAATCAAGTAATAATTTGCGATTGGAATACACCCACTTCAGAGAGGCGGAGCGATCAACAGGTGGCAAGAACCAAGAGTTAGGTTTCGCGCGTAAATTTGCAACTTGGCACGGTTACGCATGAGCAATAGACACACACTAAAAAACAAAAGAGTAGTAACGACAAACGCATCAACAATGTTATTACTTTATTTTACAATGAAGTAAGTAAGCAATATTTTGAATTTACTTACGTCACTTGTATCCGACGCCATTGCAGCAGGCGATAGTGTTTTGTCAGGACGCCAACGAAAACGGCGTGCTGCTTGAATAAGACAAGCAAATGGTTCTTATCGAAAACCAAATAAATGAACAGCATATATTAATAAAATTCTAATTGAAGCTCTTGTGAAGCGAAAAAACTCGTTATTACGATATTTTCCTCAAAATTATTGTAAAAAATCACATTTTTCAAATTTTAAAATGGTGTGAGAGATGATGCATTTTTCACTTGCACGTAATCAAACTCAAAATAGGACCGCATTTTCTTTTCGTGTAATTACATTTACATTGGTTCTATAAAGTGCATGAGATCTGTTCATTGGGACACTAATCGAGAAGTTTACTTACATACAGTACGGCTCCATTGCCACCAAGTTGACAATTCCCCGGCCTCAACTGCAGACCAGACAGAAGACCCAGAGTCCTAGACTCAAAAGGCGCGTTGTACGCAGGTGCCAAAAAATGTGAAGATGATATTATGGAAGATGAAAAAGAACATTGAGAGTCAAATTGTTAAAATCATCGGATTTCGTAACAAAACTTTTTATTGTTTCAAGAACTTTATTAGCATTTGTCTATGATAATTTTTATGTGTTGTGAATTATCAGTGTCTTTATCTGATATCCAACTTCGTTATTCAGACAAGTGTCTCCTTACAAATTTCACCATCATAAAACTCTACTGCACCCATGACTCAGCTGTTGTGATAACATGATGGGTGGCCCAGTGGTTAAAGTTCAGAGTACCAGGATTGGCGCAGAGGGGCGCGGGTTCGATCCCAGCTCTGTGCGCCAGTTTCTGGTCAGAATCGGCAAGGAGGCCGGGCGGTTAAGCACAGCAGAATTGTAGCAGCGAGTTCGAGACCGCAAAATGCTGCGAATGTTCTGCGATGTTAAGAATCGGCGACAGGCCCACGGCCTAATAAACGCTGAAACCGCTATTATTATTATTATGATAATACCATTATCAAAATCCAAGCCTGTCATTTGTTGAAGTCTGATAAATAGATTGGTAAATTTCCATAAAAATAAACTATCGCTTGTTCGAAAAGGACGAAAGGATCCCATGATAAGATAGTATGAGTGACATCATTTCACTGCGATAAGAATAGAATTATACACATAGAACGATAAAAAATGGGAGTTGACAAACATTCGTGTTCTTCGAATATTTATTAAGTGAATCAAATATTAAGAGTGCATAAAAATCAGTCGTGAGTCAAAATAGTGCAATGACCTAATTTTTTATCTTGAAAGACTTCGGCCTGGGGAAAATATTCAATCCCCTTAGCGTCCGGTGTGGTTCTGCCCTGATGAAATGTTGATTCGGCCAGAGCCTAGTGGTTAAAAATATGCGTCATAACATAACATAACATAACATAACATAACATAACATAACATAACATAACATAACATAACATAACATAACATAACATAACATAACATAACATAAATGACATGACATGACATGACATGACATGAAATGACATGTGTCATGTGACATGTGACATGACATGACATGACATGACATAACATAACATAACAAACATAACATAACATAGTTGATAGTTATGTCTGCGCTGAAGAGTAGGCTTGATGTGGCATGTCGCCGATTCTTTAACTTTTCGTGACTTGTACACGGAAGATCTAAAATTGTGTCATATGACCGGGTCTTTTGAAGACTGACGATAGTTTAAAATAGCTATTAGACTTCCACCGGGTTCTATATGGTGCTAAGCATTTCAAGTCCGAACATATATTTTTTCGTAGCTTTATCTAGCCTATTCTTGAAGGCGTTCATACTCGGAACGCCAACGATGTAATCAGGGAGGCTGTTCCACATGTCAGTGATTCGAAGCGAGAAGAAATGTTGCGTGGATAAGTTGCAGCGCAGTTTTTTTAGTTTATAGCCGTGGCCCCTGGTGTTGGTTCTTATTTAAAATTCTAGTAATACTTCGGGGACCTTGTACAAACCATGAGTATACTTGTATACTTCAATGAGGTACCCACGCAAACGTCGATAACTGAGGCTTAGAGTTTCCTAATCTTTAATATTTCTTCATAGGACTCGCCCTTCAAGCCTGGAATTATCCTTGTTGCACGTCTTTGAACATTCTCTTTTAAATTTTTGTCCTTTTAAAATCTCGGTGACCACACAACGTTTCAAAACTCTAGATTCGGGCGCACGACAGCAACAAACAACTGCTTCATCGCTTCTGCATCTAGGAACTCGCAAAAGCGTCCAAGTTGACTGATCTTGGACTGATTAGTCCAAGAAGTTCGTTTGATGTATTAGCTTGCGTTTCAACATGCTTAGAAATTTTAGCTCATTGACGACATGAACTCAGAGATATTTTTCCACACTAGACTTTTCAATCATTATTCTCTAGTTGCTACCATGTCTTCTCATACTGTAATCTTGCTGTTCATTGTTCTTCCTGAGATGAAGTATTTTACACTTGTCAGCATTAAATCGCAGCTGCCACATATTGGCCAAGTTAACTAAACTATCAAGATCATCTTGTAATTGCGCTTTATTTGACACATCCTTCACTGTATTATAAACTTTTGTGTCGTCGGCATACATGGAGCACACGCTGGGCACTACTTCTGGCAGATCGTTTATAAAAGCAACGAACATAATAGGCCCAAGAACGCTTTCCTGTGGCACGCCACTGCGCACTGATGCTCACATGCATACTCATACTTCATAAATTTTCAATGAACCGAGAATGTTTCTTTCAAGAGCCATTGAGCTCAATGTATGTGTTCAATATTAAAGAAATTGTTTCGTCCTCATCGGTCTACTGAACTGTTGATTCGGACTTAACATAGTAGGCCACGAGCAGTACTTCTTGAACGCTGAATTAACAGAGAAAGTTTCCTCCAGAAGCCATAGAATGCAATGCATCGGCTTTCAGATTCAATGTTCAACCGTTATCTGAATACAATGACTTTAAAAGTCTCCAAGTGAGTGTTTGTGGCGCGTAACTATGTTTTGTGGCTTTGCTCCCGCGTGCGTAAACGCGAGCCGAGTAGCGGTTGCGCTCGTTACTCAGACCTAACGGCAAGAACGCTTTCGCGGCTACCGCTGACTTCGTGGCTTTGAAAGCTAACCTTCGCATGGTTCGCACACAAAGAGGGTTTTGTTTGGGTCGCAGCATTCTTCAGACTGTAAACATCTATTAGGGTCACATCTCTGTGTGACAATCTCTTCGCCTGGAATAAACTTTTCTTTAGAATTTAAATTGATTATATCTAATTACAGGGTAGACAAATAATTATGTTGTATAAAAACGTATTTTGAATAACGAAGAACGTGAAATCCTAAGTGAGTTGTTCACAAATGTGAAAAATGGCTTTATTACAATTGCTCAATTCCTGTAACTCTCAGTCAAAATCGATAAATAACAATCTGAGATTGATAAGTAGAAGGTTCTACCATTTTTCTGCACCAGATAATTTGTGAGTGATGGAATAACGTGACTGGTAAACTCGACTAGGCTTTGAGTAAAAAAACAGCGTTGGAACACATCCATGCGACAACATTTCTTCTCGCTTCGAGTCACCGACATGTGGAACAGCCTCCCTGATAGCATCGTTGAAGCTCCGAGCTGTCTCTTATACACATCTCAAAACTACGTGTGTTTGCAGGAGNAAAGGCCGGATCCCTTGTGAATCAAGTCACGAAAAGTTCAAGAATCGGCAACAGGCCATGGGCCTATTTCTTCAACGCCGACACTTCTATTCTATTCTATTCTAAAACAATCATGAGACAATGTTCAGAATTGGTGAGTACGTTTTTTCAAAGAATGATGTCAAGTAGAAAATCTATCACTGGAGTAGTAATTTGGATGAATAAACCGTTTAGTTTCAATAAAAATGTGAAGCGAAAATTTATACGATTAACTTAGTTCGCTGTATGTACATATTTTCAATTTGTCGGGTCAATTTTTAATAAATTTATCGGGATTCTAAAATTCTATGGATTATCGATGTTGTGTGACGCTGGGCTAATCTTATTTTAGTATAGTATATTCCAGTCACTCAACACTCATTCTACATTATATTTCAGTTCACGAGTTGGAGTAGGAGGCTGCAGCATTGCGGTTAGGTAACCAAGTTCACGCACCGGTCCGACACAAGGAGTTATGAGTGCCACAGTTGAAAATGAAGTTCGAGCTCGCAGGCGAGTTCGCACGCGAGTTCGCTGAAGTGTCGAATCGGTAGTTCACGCTCTTGGCTGTCAACGGGCTTCCGTTGTAAGGTCAGCTACGTCTGGCGCGACAGTGCGGCGCCTCTTGGATCGATCGTCGCTGGTTATACCGACGTTCCTGAAAATTACATTGACCGTGAGACGAGATTGCTGTAAACTGTAATAGGTGCTTCGTTTTAAGAACTTAATATACACATTAATAATACATCAGGATGCCTAAAGCAGTTGTATTATTTATCATTAAAGGCATGTCCCTATATGTTGGCCTTATAAATTGTTAATCACGAGAAAGTTAGGAACAGCAATTTATGAACAGCAGAGAATGACTCATCTAATGATATCATACGTACGTCGTATGGTATCGTGACTCACGCTACTGCAGTGTCGTGACTCACGCTACTGCAGTGTCGTGACTCACGCTAATGCAGAGTCGTGACTCACTAAGCTACTTCACTGCAATCAGTCCACGAAACTTATCACAGTGAGGGACGACGAATAATTATTTAAGCAATACAGACGGGATCATTTTATCTGAACAATGTTTTTATTTTCAAACGGTTTTATTTCATAGGAAGTGCACTCCACAAATATAACTTTTAGCTTCCGCCAGCAGTTCGAGAAGCAGGTTACCGAAAGCCATTTCGTTCACAGCCAAAAGAATCATTAAAAAACAGTAAATTGTTTACAACATAAGAAATGAATCTACGATTAAAAACAGACAAGTGCGAAAGTTAGAGGCCTTGTATCCGAGGCTTGTATGTCCTCGCCCAGTGTATCCTGTGGCCGTGGCCGAGCTCAAGGGCTCACACTTAGGCCATGGGAGCGTAATGGTAGATCACGTTTACAGCTCTGCAGCTGAAGCATGAATGAATATTCCAATGATATATTCATAGTTGAAATAATGCGATAATAATAATAATAATGATTACGGGAGTTGTCGTCTTCGTTCAAGAAGATATCGTGTATTTAATTTGATCGAGGAAAAACAATTATATATACTACCAACAATTATTGCACCTCATTTGAAAACCATAGAATAAAATATCTACCATGCGTGATTATTATCTAGGACACTGGTTTATCTAAAGCTATTCAAAGACCTCGAATAAAACCACTAAGCCATTCGAGTCTAAAGAAGCCAAGCTCTTAGCATTCATTTGAATCACGCTTCAGCCGGTGCTCGCATTGACCGGAAAGTATTTATGTCGAGTTATAGCCTCGCTCTGAGATAAGGCATGAATTCATTTCCTGTTGGAGCTTGTCTACATTTATTCATCACGAGATTATTATAGTTAAGAAAACGGAAAGAAATTTACTGCAGTTAAGTAGATAAAAGCAGTAAATTTTATAGTGGATTTATTCAACGACAAAGTACGCAAGCTTAGCACGAGTAACATATCAAAGAGCGTATAACCCATGAAAGTATTTCCCTTCCCATGGAGTCAGGCAGCCGGCATTACGACGGCGCTATTTTTAGACCTGCTGGTCATGGCGGCTCGCCGATGTGTTTACCAGTAGTTGGGCTTGACGGAATCGTCACATATTAGATCGCTGATATACTGTACAATGGGAGTATCCGGGAATGCCGCACTTGTTTAGCTTTCTAAAAAAATAATTAGTGAAATCTGAGGTCACTAGAAGAAAAATAAAATAAATGTAATCATATACTGAAAAGGGTTTAACTTTACGGAGTACAATAGTAAAGTTAGTGTATAATGTTTCAAAATAAATAAAACGACATCAATTTTAGTTTATATAAGTAAGAAATCAGACGAACATGTATTTCAACGGCCACATATGCTGGCAGTTTTCATGTTATCGCAGCTGTATATGATACGTTCTAAAAAATAAAATCAGAAGTGTACGTGAAATGGAGAAGAAAAATTCGTGCATGACATTTGTAGTTCCCACCACTCTAGGCATCCAATCGCTGGAAGGGATATGGGTGCGGCGTTGTTTGCTTCCGTTTATAGACCAACAAATTTATATCCTATCAAATAAAACGCATGTTATTGTTACCAGCTTGTACGGTTTGGTGAAAATTTATCATGTACATCGACTGATTGTATGAGTTCATGTCAATACCTTTTTCCTGCAGGCTCCTTTTGATACGTGAAATATTCTAAGCCTTAAATAAATGAATTTGAAGTTTTATTGCACAAAGGAATTCCGATTACTTTTAGAATAACCGAAAAAAGAATCTTATTGGATTGAGTCAAGAACTAGGGCAACGTGAACGCAACAACTCTGAATTGCAGTGGTCCAATAGACGACTAGCATTTCAGCGCAACGGTTGATGACTGCAGCCAATAGGAGAGCTTTCTGAATGTGACGTCAGAGTCTGTATATAAAGCTCCGGGTGTTCAAATTTTCCGTCATTGTTGCTTGCGAGGTACGCCATCGTTGGACCTTGTGACGACTCTTTCACCGATTTATCTCAATTTCGTGTAACTACGACATAAAAATGGTGAGTATTGAAGATTAGTTAAAGTCTTAATTAAGTAACGCATTAATATATTATAATAACGCTATAATAGTGAGATAGGATGTGTTAAATGCAATGTAGGAAATGATGAATGTCAGGGGTGTGGCATGACGCCGAGAACCGGCCGGTTGTTATCACAAGTGTAATACGATCTTTGTTGGCGGCGGTGTTTTATACCTACTGAATAATTTTATTCAGGTCTCGGGACGAAATTTATTAAAGGGTGTTGAACTTGGTACTGAAAGTATTCCCTATTATAGCCTAAGCTAATACCTAGCTTGTCCACTGTTTTGCATTCGCTAGGTAGCTTAAGCTAGCTAGCCTACTAAACATTCGTTGAGTTACTAATTTAAACTTTGATAACAAGAACAATTTGTTTCGTGCGAAATTGGTGCTCGGATAATTTGTTGAGCGTCAAGGGCGGTATAAATGAAATTTCCTCTTGTCGACTTTCGCGAGCATTAGGTGATTTGAAATAGGTGGTACTATGAATCTTGCCTAAGACCTAAGAGAAAAATGCTCGTTTTGAAATGTTTAAATATGTCATCGAATCGTCTTACCGCGTACCTACTATTAATAATCTTTATTAATTGTAATTTGTAGACAGTATAGCTGACTATATCACTATAAGCTGATAGGAATTTGTTTTGAGTGGTTAACGTTATGCTAGCAGAAACAAGATAGCATTTAGGTACCGTATGTGTCGTCTCACTCGTCTGGTTTGCTGGCCTATGGAAAGCTGCTACTGGTGTCGAGTGACGATTTGACCTTCACATGGCTGGGGAAGGAGGCCAGACGTGAGGGGTTAAAGGAGGGACTGCAGGGGTTATCACTCATTCCTGCCTCCCTCCCTCCACTACTAGTGTTGCAGTATTTCATGTGATCTGACATTTATGAGGACTATTTAACTGCTCTCTCTGACTTTCGTGATGACAGTTTATTCCTTCATAAGTTCGTATGACGGAGATAATGCTATCTCTGGCAAATTATCGGCCGTTAGTAACTTAGTCCGCATCTTCATAGTTTATCCCTGCGGCGTTCTCGTGTTAAGGAATTTATTCATTCGAGTTGATGCGGCTCCTCATGGTAGAACATAATATTTCTGGTTCAGTTTAGTAGAATTTCTAATCATAGGCTAACTGAAGTTTGTTTTAAATGCTTGGTATTTTGTCAATTTTTCACGTGACGTTGCATTTGACAAAATCTTGCAATTCTCAGTGACCCAATACTAACTTCAGGTTTGACAACTCGTATGCTATTCGAATTGTTAGTTTGAACGTCATTTTTAAAGTCGAAATTGATACTTTTTATCCACCTTGTATTTTAGAGAAGTCGCGAGTTTGGCAGTTATGGGGAGCTGGTGTAGTGTGCACTAAAACGTATCTCATGATAACGTATCGCACGATCTAAGCTCGTATGCTGATAGCGACCTGTAATGCTGAATGTTAGCTTCAAATGCTTTCATGGAAAGTATTGTCAATCGAAACGTTAATTGAAGACTTAAGATATACTTACAAGATGCATGCTATTTATTACGTAACTCCGAGGATTTTCCAGGAAATGGACTTCTCATTCATGGAGCTTATTTGCGTTGGTGATGTATCATACAAAAATCCATAGAAATCGCTTCCTGGTTAACTTGAAAGTGTAAAATTTCATGCAAGTTTTTCTTCTCGCGGTTATATTACATACTTGTATCAACGCGCTAATGCAACCTTCCGTAACTCAAAACTTGGCAGATGTTTCACCGTACGCTAAAATTAAATTCTGATCGAAGCTGTAATGAGATTCTGATCGATTCGTAAAATGTAATGAGTAACTGTTGGATGAACTCGGTTACCGTCAGCAATCGCGCGGTGTTCAAACGAAAGCTGCGCAATTTGTGCAGCTTCATATCCCCCCGAAATCCGCTGAAAGTTTTATTTTTGAATAAAGATAGCGATATCAACTCGGTACTACGAAAGCGGTTATGAAAGAAGCTGCATTCGGCCGTTATTATGGCTTACTAAGCGAGCTGCAGTGGCGCGTGCACGTCACGGTCACGGCGCAACAACTCCGCTCCCTTCACTCGCGCTACTGGTCCGAGAAAGCTTCGTATGCGAGCAGTTCGTGTGTGGCAAATTTTTATGCTGGTTCACGTAATGCGTTGAATGGTAAAAATAGATTTAATAACGTACGAATGTGGAAGGAAGTATACTTGATATGATAGAATTTTTAAACCTCATTCGTTGAAATTTTATTACGTTAATTCACTCAATTGACAACTGAAATGGTAGCTCGATCTCGCTGACCCGGTAGGCGAGTGAAGCCCGAGTCGGATTATATTAACCATTTATGGTCCAAACGAGCTCTGCTTTATTTTACCCAGCTAGAGCGGGTTTTTAGCACCTAGTGTTGTATATTGTATGTCATATTGCAAATTTTTTACTTGGTCCTAACATATCGTGTTCTTTTTCAGCGTGAGTGCATCTCGATCCACGTTGGCCAGGCTGGAGTGCAGATGGGCAATGCCTGCTGGGAGCTGTACTGCCTCGAGCACGGCATCCAGCCCGATGGCCAGATGCCCTCTGACAAAACCATCGGTGGAGGCGATGATTCCTTCAACACTTTCTTCTTCGAGACTGGCACGGGAAAACACGTGCCCCGAGCCATCTTCGTTGACCTGGAACCGTCTGTTATAGGTGGCTTTATGATCCATTCTTATTTTGATTGTTACTGTCTTTCAAGTTAACCGGAATTCGCTTGAAATTGATAACTTCAGAGGTGCCGCTGAATTTTACGCGATATCATATGTTTGACAGAGATAGAGAGAGAGTAAATAATTCAATTAAAGACAGAAAATAAGGATGGATGGAAAATAAGGATGAAAGAGTTTTGAATATTGATTTGAGTACTTTGACCGATTCGTCATTTATTTTACAGATGAGGTCCGGACTGGAGTCTACCGACAACTTTTCCATCCAGAACAATTGATCACTGGGAAAGAAGATGCTGCTAACAACTATGCACGAGGTCACTATACCATCGGGAAGGAAATCGTTGAAATTGTTTTAGATCGCATTCGTAAAACCGCCGACAACTGCACTGGTCTTCAAGGTTTCCTTATCTTCCATTCGTTCGGTGGCGGCACTGGTTCCGGTTTCACTTCCCTCTTGATGGAGAGGCTTTCGGTCGACTACGGCAAGAAGAGCAAACTTGAATTTGCCATCTACCCTGCCCCTCAAGTCGCCACTGCCGTCGTCGAACCTTACAACTCGATCTTGACCACACACACTACTCTGGAACATTCTGACTGCGCCTTCATGGTTGACAACGAAGCAATTTACGATATTTGCCGTCGTAACCTCGATATCGAGCGACCCACTTACACTAATTTGAATCGGCTCATCGGTCAGATCGTCTCGTCCATTACCGCTTCCTTGAGGTTCGATGGCGCCCTCAACGTCGATTTGACTGAGTTCCAAACGAACTTGGTCCCTTACCCTCGTATTCACTTCCCGTTGGTGACATATGCGCCAGTCATCTCTGCTGAGAAGGCTTACCACGAGCAGCTTTCGGTTGCCGAGATCACTAATTCTTGTTTTGAGCCCGCCAACCAGATGGTGAAGTGCGATCCACGCCGTGGAAAGTACATGGCGTGTTGCCTGCTTTTCCGAGGTGACGTCGTGCCCAAGGATGTCAACGCTGCCATCGCTACCATCAAGACCAAGCGGAGCATCCAGTTTGTGGACTGGTGCCCCACGGGCTTCAAGGTGGGTATCAACTACCAGCCCCCCACCGTAGTCCCTGGTGGGGACCTGGCCAAGGTGTCTCGTGCCGTGTGCATGCTGAGCAACACCACGGCCATCGCTGAAGCCTGGGCTCGTCTGGACCACAAGTTCGACCTGATGTACGCCAAGCGCGCCTTCGTGCACTGGTACGTGGGCGAGGGCATGGAGGAGGGCGAGTTCACCGAGGCCAGGGAGGACTTGGCCGCCCTCGAGAAGGACTACGAAGAGGTCGGCGTCGACTCCGCTGAAGCCGAAGAAGGAGAGGGAGAAGAATATTAGGAAATTTATCCACTTTTGATTATTATTTGATTGGCTGAATGAAAGCTGATTTGATTTCAATAAAGGATTTCAAAAGTTGATTGAATTTTATTTTCTTCCCCGGAATTGATCGTCTCTTCAGATCAGTATGTTCGTAAAGAAAATGTTGTAAAGGTACATTCGATGCAGATCGATGTCAATGATTTTATTACGTACGAACTAATTGATAAACGAATGAACTGCACTGACATGGTAAGAGAGCTATTCACTTCCATTATTAGCCATACGATAATCCGTCACGATACAGACAACCTTATTGGAGAAGGCTTCAACACATGTTGAACCTTGCTTTTTATTCTTGCTAATGAGAACAGGAGACTGCAACGCTACTCCTGAATTTTTTTTTTCATTGGCTTGACTTAACGCATCCCTTGTAAATAATTTTAATTTCGGAAAAATGATGTGGGTTTGACAGAAGCTTTATCTTGAAAATTTTCACTGCGAAAAGTGTGACACCTGCGCGGTTGCTACTAATAGTTTTCATTAGTGCCGTTTTAAACTGATTCCATCCAAATCCTTCGTTCCCGAACACATTTGGTCATTTCTTATTCGGAACAATTGGGGATTTTCACGTTCCATTCGCCAACAGACCTATCGACGTACAAGCCAGTCGCTGGTTAAGCCGACACTTTGTAAACTTGAAATATTCAACTGCTTCGGAGTATGAATAAGGTAGCAGAATGCATGACGAATGTCTAAAAAAAACTACCTTTGTGCTTGATCTGCAAATTAATGTGGAAAATTGATACTGAAATGTGTTCGTAGTTCTTAGACAAGCTAGACTACACGTGTCGCAAATAAGGTATGAGGACGTTGGAATTCTAATTTTTTTCCCGATGAGTGAACCTCATTATTTTGGGTGAATAGCTAGAGGTCAGCATAGCCCAAGTCCACAGTGCTATTCATATACCTTCCCGAGCGTTAAACGCAGCCGGTCATCTTCACGGCTTTTGACACAAAGCGCCCACCACAACAGCGCCGTCGGCCGTACAGTAACAGGCCGGAGCCCAACTGGCCGGAGCGCAGCTGCCGCCGCAGCAGGCCCTACCGCAACAGCTACTCCTAACGTAACGTAACCTAACCTAACCTAACCTGCGCCGCCTGTTGCGGTAGGGTCTGTTGCGCTCCGGCCAGTTGGGCTCCGGCTCTGTGAAGCAGTGGCTGTGTTGTTCAAAGCGGATTTACTGTTAGCCGGAGTTACCCACAGCTCATTGATCTGAGGCTATGTGTAGATATTGCATACTGATGGTTGGCGTTGGGCCCAGGGCCTGTTTACGAGTCAATTTTGTTACCCACGGCTGCACTCCCATTATTTTAAATCTACTCAGCTTGTAACGTGAAAGCTACAGCGTCTCTTAAAGTCAGATGTCATTTAATTAAATTTGCTCCTAGCAGGGGAAAAATTTGTGCGTATTATAATTGTAGCCAGCATACAAAAAATACTTTCACAAAGGTTTGTCCTCGACCGAACTCTAGTAAAGGTTTTAACGTGGATCCACAGACCATAATTGCATATAATTCAGGATACTGCATTCTGCAATTCGCTTCTAAGTATAAATAATTCTTATGATTATAATTATACCTAAAATAATTAGAAACTGGCCGTTCATCACATTATCGTTGCACTGATTCTTGATGGGAATGAACGAAGACGCAACCTCAAGCACCGTATTTTTTTCAGACTCCTTCCATCAGAACCATCTACGGTAGAGAATTCTTGGTGCCAATGGTTAACGCGTGTCTTGCGCCGTGACGCTTTTCTGAATCGTTGCTTGTGAAGTTGACGCGGCGCGTCAAGCGTCACTTGACCACCAACAATTAGTCAAGAAGAAAAGAAATATCAAATAATTGACGTCCAATTTAGTAACTTAGAAGAAAGTCTCATATTTTGCATATGTCTTTGGCATAGATTGTATCCAGCGAGAGGAATGCAGCCTGGATTCGAACACTATTACGAGTATATAAATGCAGGGAAAACATGCAGCCAGCATATCTAGATTGTTGATAGATTTCAACAGTTGTCCTAGGATAAATAAAGGACAGTAAATAAGTGATTATTTTTTATTATTTTGGTAAAGACTTGTGATGTCAAAGCTCATCCCAGCCAGATTTCTGCCAAGGCGTAAATAAAGTAGGCATGCTATTTGAACATTCTTCCTGATTGCCTCACCTAACTAGCAATTAAGTCTCCACCGCAACCTCAAATTTTGTGACATGCCCTATGTCTGGGAACCATGTACTGCAGTAACAGTTGTCGTTCCAGTTATATATTCCAGCCAATTGTTTTCTAAGAGCCTTTCGTTTTGTGTCTTTTGATGTTTAAGGGAGGTAGGAATTTAACGTATACATTTTTTAAATTAAAATTTCTTGTTGATCGATTAGAATTCATATCGAAAATGAATCTGGGCAATAATAATTCATGGAATTTCATCTGAAAACTAAAATCGATAGTAAAAAAAGATGATCAATTTTTCGGCGAATGAAAGGCATATCAGAAAATTTTAATCTTTTTCGTGTACATTTTGAATCTCACAGCTGATTGTAATTGCTTTATATAAAAGTGTTTAAACTGATACTAGAGCTGGTTTCCGAAATGTTTTTAATAAAGAGCAGGTGAATCTACATAGCGTTTTTTTCAATTCTTAGTAACTTTACTTGTTGCGACATTGACTCTATACGTATATATCTCTCTCAATCAAGTTTTTGGTTTGTTATTAGGCTTTTTGGACTTTTAATTAAGTCCAAAAACTTGATTTAAGACTTTTTTGGTATTGGACTTTTTTACTTGAGAGCCGCATTTGTCACAGCCGTTCATCCGTCCCTTGACTAATACATAATTATTGCGAGAAAATATAAATGGTAAAAACTGGAGGGGAGTAGAAACAAATGGATCAGGTGATATGTTTTAATGCTCGTGATATGCAGGTAAAAATACCATGACGCCGGTGGTAGGATTTATGAGTCAATTAATACTCTTCTCCTTCTCCAATGATATCCTCAGCGGAGTCGACGCCGACCTCCTCGTAGTCCTTCTCGAGGGCGGCCAAGTCCTCCCTGGCCTCGGTGAACTCGCCCTCCTCCATGCCCTCGCCCACGTACCAGTGCACGAAGGCGCG